TTTGTGGGACCTGAGCAGTGATGCAAAGGCAGGCAGGCTGTGCTCCAAGCTGGTCGGGGAGCTCCTGCTCCAGGGCCTCTGCAACAAGAATTTCACCTGTAAATTAGTTGTTATGGGGGTAACAAAAACCAAACATCTCAGCAATCCAACTAATCGATATGACTCACTGCGTCTTTACAGTTCCTTCAAATACAGGAAATTCTTGAGAGACGTAATGTGGGAAAAGGTTTTGGTACATCGAGCGATGCCATCAGATGGGGAATGAAGTATTAGATCACCTCAGTCAAATAGACACAATTAATCTAAAAAAAAAAAAAAATCAACACATCACTTAATAGGTACAAACCATCAAGTCCAAGAATTCCTACCTTGCTGCACAAATCAAGGTTTAGATTTGCTCACCTCACTGGTGAAGAGCAATTAAACGATGATGTTCTCAGAAGATGTGATTTCTGCAGCTCAGTTGCTCTACCCGTCTGCTGCGCCATCTTCTTGTATATTTGATTGCTACACTGCAACTCTCTGTCAGAACATTTTCTGAGAAAGGAGGGAATCCCCTATCAAATTCCTGCTTAGGAGAGCTTTCAACCACAACAGTAACACCATGGTTTGCTTCGAGGGAGGCAACAGCTCCTCGTGTGCTCTGCGCACTTGCTCAGTGTGTGGTTGGTGATTGCCCAGCCCTCTCCTTTGTCCAGGTCTCTCTGCAGGACCTCCCTGGCTTCCAGGGAGTCCACAGCTCCTCCCACTTTAGTGCCATCTGCACACTTGCTCGGTATCCCTGCCAGCCCTGGGTCCAAGTCATTTAGGAGGGTGTGGGAGAGCCCTGGGCCTGAGATGGTGGAACTGTGGAACCCCCCACCAGTGACTCCCTGTTCATGGGCTGCTGTGGCAAAAGAAAGGAAAGACAGGGCTGGCTCAGGGGAGGAGAAATAAATGGCAAGATTNCTACCTTGCTGCACAAATCAAGGTTTAGATTTGCTCACCTCACTGGTGAAGAGCAATTAAACGATGATGTTCTCAGAAGATGTGATTTCTGCAGCTCAGTTGCTCTACCCGTCTGCTGCGCCATCTTCTTGTATATTTGATTGCTACACTGCAACTCTCTGTCAGAACATTTTCTGAGAAAGGAGGGAATCCCCTATCAAATTCCTGCTTAGGAGAGCTTTCAACCACAACAGTAACACCATGGTTTGCTTCGAGGGAGGCAACAGCTCCTCGTGTGCTCTGCGCACTTGCTCAGTGTGTGGTTGGTGATTGCCCAGCCCTCTCCTTTGTCCAGGTCTCTCTGCAGGACCTCCCTGGCTTCCAGGGAGTCCACAGCTCCTCCCACTTTAGTGCCATCTGCACACTTGCTCGGTATCCCTGCCAGCCCTGGGTCCAAGTCATTTAGGAGGGTGTGGGAGAGCCCTGGGCCTGAGATGGTGGAACTGTGGAACCCCCCACCAGTGACTCCCTGTTCATGGGCTGCTGTGGCAAAAGAAAGGAAAGACAGGGCTGGCTCAGGGGAGGAGAAATAAATGGCAAGATTTCTCAGCTTTTTAAGAGAACTTCAGAATTGCCAGTAGGTTGGTTTCCATCAGCTGTGCTCTGCAGATTTAATAACCATGTGTTTCCGGCTGGACCGAGAATGCTTTGCAAGCTGGAGGAACTGTTAGAAACCAGGGGACATGAGCACTTCTGCAGCACATTAAAAAAAAAAATGTAGGGCCTCAATTTTGAATGTTTCCGGGAGCAAGTTCTGCTTGTCTGCTTTCTCCAATAAATGTCTCAGACATGCCAGTGCATCAGTATCCAAACAATTGCACAGAAGCAATTCTAAGCACATTGCAGCCCTTCCTGCAGGTCGGATCCCTTCAGCTGCAATCTGGGAGGAGCTGAATCTGTCACTCGTGCACAGGAGCTGCAGGGAGGCAACCAGAATACAACCTCTGCTCTCGACCAGACTGCAACCATCACTCGCACCAACAGGTTCTTCCTCTCCTTTCACGTTTGGACTCGGGACCCACGTGGGGCTCAGCACGGGGGCCAAGGAACACCATTTGGTTTGTGCCCCACGGTGCCAGGTTATACATCTGGGGGTTTTGTGGGTTAAATCCCATTGTTCATCTGTCTAATTGTATTTATTGTATTATTTTTCTTAAATTAGAATTCTGACTTCTATTCTGAGTTGGGGTAATTTCTCCTGCTGGTTTACCTTTAAACCAGCGCAGACAGACCGTGTGTGCTTCGGCCTCGGAATTGGGAAGTGTATGGAATGGTACAGCTGATGGGTGGTAGCAGCACATAGAACACGTGCCACTTTTCTGTGGTTTTCATAAATCCAGTGCATTTCTGTGCGTTCTTGTGATGTCCCCTATGGTACAGCGCAGTAAGGCGGTGGGGATGGGGAGAGATGAAACCCAAAAGCCTTTCATGGAAAAATACCCTGTTCCTTCCAGCCAGCTCAGTGGCTTCCCTTCATGAACTTGGAGCCAGGCTTCCACCTGGCAGGGGCCACTGCTACAGAAACTGCTTTTGGAAATGCCGACATTTTGCTGGTGTTTATTTCCTGCCCCTTTTGATGAGCCTCAAACCCATGAACAGGTATTTTACAAAGGGGGGACTGCTGCACATGTGCAGACCTGTTCTACCTCATGAAATGATGTGCAAAAGGGAGAGAATTCTCCCTTGTAAACACACTTGTTTTGGGATACCATCCTTCTCTTCACCACTCCCACGGGTCTGTCAGAGACAGGGCGGGGGATGTGAGAGGACCAGAGGACTAAGGCACACTTTTGGATAAGAGGATTGGCTGAATGTGCTGTCACACCACAGGAAATCCTTGGGTGGATAACAGTGTCATCTTACCGAACACATCCTGTAGTGTGGCTGAGAAGGAGCCCATGAGTGACATCCCTCTGCCCCAGAAGACAGGCAGAGCTGTTTCCAAACACACCTTGTCATTTGCCACCCCAGCTTGAGGCTTCCAAGGCTGAAAGAGAGCAAGAGCCTCAGTAACTCAGTGGTGAGATGAGTGCTGAGGGCGTGGATGTGGGCGAGAACTTGGAAAACATTCCTCTGGCATGTTCTCTGGGCGCACAACTACTGCAGCCTGTGGGATGTCCCATAATAGCCTCTGGAGGCAGATGTCCTTGTCAGCAATATATGTGATGATTGTCCTGTTGGTTACTAAGAGAAATGTTTACAGACCATCAATACATTGGCCCATTCAGACAATTCATTGCACTTTGCTGTTTTAAAGGCAGGTGCCCTTCTCCATCTCTTCTTTTTCAAGGCAGCAAAGCGCTACCTGAACAATTACAGTGCAAAGTTTTCCCAATGGAAAAAGAAAAATTCAACTTTATTTAAAACATTTTTGTATACATGTTCTTTCTGAACAATTAAAACATTACACAATTTCTATTTTTGCCTGGGGGTATTTTATTGAAAAAAGTAACTACACTAAGCTTCTAAGTCCCTAAGTCTTCAAAATTGCAAAAAACTTCAGGGTCCATTTTTGAACAAATCAAAAAAATTGCTAAAGTAAGCTTCTAAGTCTTCAAAAACAGTGAAGCTAATTTATTAGGTTTCTAAGCTCCTAAGGTTTCACAACTACAAAAAAAAAAAAAAATGGAAGGGATTTGATGTCCTGGGGAAACATTTCGGTCACGTTTTCATCCAGTCTCTTTCTCCCTGTCTGGTGGAGCGGAACAGGTCAATACCAGACTACTGCTCTCTTCTGACTTCAGCCAAGATCTCTGGAAAAAGAGAGGGAGAAACAAAACCATTGGTTGGTTTCATACACCAGGCACATCTGACAGAGGACAGTCAGCAAATCCAGTTACTTTATTCAAAGGGCACTTGCAAAGCCTTGAGATTTTTAGCAACTGCCTCATTACTGGGAGCCTTTTTACAGTCTTCCGACTGCACATTGTGTAAAGGTAAATATCCAGCAGATTATGTTTCAGAAGGCATCTTATCTTAGAAGTAAACTCTGGAGTATAGGAACAGGAGATACAGTTCTTCACCTCCCCCTTGTTAAGAGAGACTTGGACTTAAGCATCCTTATGACATCTCACCACTATATACTCACCTCACTTTATTGCAGTCTTTGCTTAATGAAGACTCGCTTTAATCTTCACATCTGTCTCCTCTAACAGGAGGAAAGAAAAAAGGAAAAGAAAATCACTCAGGTTTTGAAAGTTCACATCAAGCGCAGACCAACACACTTAAGCTTGAGTGATTCTGATTCTGACTGAGAACAGGGGAAAAGAAAACCTGGAATTCAGCAAGTGCAAACCCACAGTATATCAGATATAGATTTCAGGCTCACTGACAAGTAACCAAAAATGACTTTTTATCTAATTGTGCTGAGATAGATTAATTGTTTTGTAGCGGCAGGGATGAAACTGCTAAACCTCTTGTTGAAACCTCTGATTTCCACTGCTGAAAATAAGCATTTCATCTCTTCTGGGTGGGTTTTTCATTGGCTCAGGAGGGGATGTGTGACTATGGAGTAACAGCTGAGGAAAGTTTTGATTCACAGTCACTTTAGAAGATTGACAACACCGTTATGGGAGAAGCATAATGGTTCCACTCCCAACCTGGGAAGTGGAAACTTCGCAGGAGTTTTTCAAACACCACCTTGGTCCTTGTACAAACTCACCTCCCCTTCCACCTCTTAGCTTTTTCTTCCCACAGGGCTCATCAGGACCGTCCATGGCTCTCCTCTTCAAGTCCTGCTTCCTTGCCCCAGGGAGGTCCTTGGTCTCTGCTCTTCTCTGCTGCTCTTCTTTCACCCGGACAAGCTCAGGAGCTGCGGGGTCTCTCGCTGGTGAGAGGAATTTCTTCCCCCCGAGACTAAAGGGCTGTTTGACTTTGGCCTGGTGGGAGCCCTTTCTGTTCTCGGGGGACTCCTGGAGTGCCGGCTTCAGGTCTTTCCCACAAGCAGATTCCGGCTTCACTCTTTGTCTGACTACCTGCTTGTCCCTGGAGCACTGGGCTCTGATCTCCAATGGTTAAGGCTCGCTGTCCTCCCTCCGGCATCTCTTGGCACTGTTGTGCACCAGGGGCTTGCCAGGCCTTTTGGTACCCACGGTGTGCTGGGTCTCTGAGCCCGAGGAGCTCTCTGAGTCACTGGTGTCCGGGGATGAGGAGCTTGGACCAGCAAGTGGAGAAGGAGGCTTTTCAACAACCTGTTTTGGTCACAAAAACAAAGAGAAGGGGGGAAGGAAAAGTTAGCTGAAGGAACTCAGAACAGTGCAACAAGTTGAGATGAGTCCAAGGCATGTCTGTGTGCCTGGTGTGTACAACATCCCAAACTGACTTGGTTGTCCTCACTCTCCTCACTATCACTGAGCTGCAGGTCATCCAGGAGCCAACTGAAAGAAAACCAGAAGATGAGTATCAGGCAAGGCAGACACATTCTCAAACACCAGACACTGAACAAGATTTGGGCTCTGCTTGCCAAAACACTTCAACCTCCCCCATCCCTTCGGAACATTTGGCACGTTCAGTGTGCAAAACCCTGTGACTGCCTGAATGGGTGGTAAAATGGTAACACACAACCAGGCATTTTATTGGGCTTTCCAGCTGCCCTGGGGATATTTGGCAGTGGAGGTCAGTAGCACGGGTTGCCATCGAGAGGCAGCAATGACCAAGCTCAGGGAGGGAATGCTCCTCACAAAAGGCTCCCTGGCCCAGCCAGCAGGGGTGAAGAGTCTGATCCTTTCACAGGAAGAGACTCACATGCCCTCAGCCTGCACTGCTCCCCAACAGTGGGACATTAATACTTTGGGGCGGGGTGGGGGGAGGGTGTCTTCCTTTTTCTTTTGGTTTTAACAGAGGCAATATAACCCTTCCATGGTTTAGTGGTCTTGGCATTGCTGGATTAATGGTTGGAACTGATGATCTTGAAGACCTTTCCCAACCTAAACCTTTCTATGAGTCCATCCAGAAATAATTCCCTGCACTCAAGTTTTCTAACAAAAATCTGATAAAACTTGAAGCTTCAGAATCCTCAAGGAGCATCACTATTTATTCCTACCAGGTTCTTTTAAGTAACTGCCCAGTAGAGCTGGGACCAGAGTCTGGTTACTTACGATGTTGTTGGCCGAGAACTCAGCAATGTTCCTGAAGCTGTGCCAGACTGCTCTGTGCATCAAACAGGAATAGGTTGGATTAATTTGCCTCACTTGTAGCCTGTTCCACCCTATGATCTCTGAGCACCAGATTGGAAAGGACTTTCTTCCAGGACGTGTTTGTCACTGAGACTGTTCACCACTCGGTGGGCTTTCCCAATGGGGTTTCCTAATGGCATTTCTTAATGAAATACTGTTCAATTTCGAGGTAATGAACACTTAGTCTCTAAGACCATTCTAAATTCATCCCTGTGCAATCCCCCTTCCTAATCCGTGTAAACATCTGATGTTCTCCACAACATTTCCCACACCATACACGAAATGACATGTCAATACACACAAAATTGTGTGTTTGCTTGGCATCTCTACTTACCCTGATTCTGAGCTACAGAGCCGTCTGTGTCCTAGAAAGAAAGGACAGTGTGTATATTGACAATGAAATAAATAAATCAGCTCTTTTTCAATAGCACTTGACCAATGATTTGTTTCCCAGGTGTCACCCATTGCACTAAATACTAATTAGTCTGACTGGGAAGAGTCCCAGAGTCTAATGTGGCCACCATCTCAGCCCACTCCAAAACACTCCGAAGCACAGTGGGTTCTAATTCTGAGCAAAACAATGCCCTGGAAACAGCTGTTTCACAACTCGAGATCCACTGGGCTCCAAAGCAGATGAAAGCCCATGCAAGAGGCAGAAAGCTCTCTTGTAAAGTGACAAAAGCACTGACAAAAAGGGGCTGGTTTACCTGTGTGGAGCATGGCGCTTTGGAAGGCTCTGCTTTTGGAGGCACGTGCAGAGGAGACAGGGGCTGTGAAAATGAGGAGGTCATTTCCTGGAAAACAATTGAGAGAAGCAGCTCTCAGGAGATTTGCTGAGAGGCACAGAGGAAGCTTCACGCTTCTCCGGGGTGCTACAAAACTAGTGATCTGCATTCCTGACAGGCAAGGGCACGAGCTGTCTGGTGAAACACAGGGGGATGCGGGACTTGCAGCTGGAGTCCTCGGGCTGCAAGCCCAGCCAGCACACAGCATTGCCCCACCGTGCACAGGGAAGGGGAGCCACGGACTCAGAGCCAGGCACTGGGAGCCTGCGTGCTGCTCAGAGAGCAAAGACAGACACCTCACCTACGAGTGGACGCACTGGGTTGGATTTGCCAGGAACTGGGATTGGTTCTGCCACCCTTGGCTGTGGCCAGGGCTCCCCAGCAAATGAAGCTGTCTGGATGAGGGTAATGTATCAACGGGGTAACTGGGGATGTATCTTCTTCATGACTGTGCTTTGCTGCTCTAGGAATGATTCCATGCATTACCTTGCTTAGTGTGGTTGTTGCCTAAAGGGTGTGTGTGCTAAGCTTATTGCCATATTAACTGCAGTATTTTGGTTTTGTGTGGCCCTAATATTGCTCATAAAGTAGGACCCTTCCCACTATTGGTGTTTTGTGTCCTCTCTCTCGCCGGTCAATTGGCCAAATACGCTGGCAGCACGGACACGAGGCAGCATGTCCAGTGCCTTGAGAGGAAGGGCGCTTGGGAAAGGCAAACCCTGACTTGAGGAAGGAGCAGCTCTGTCAGTCTCATGTGCCTTGTCAGTGGGGCTCTTGAACTGCATTAGCCTGTGTTACACTCACAACAAGGATAGGCAAAGGTTGGCCTGACACCTCCAGTTGTATCTGAGGCTGACTTTGGTCTTTACTGCTCCTCAGCACAGCCCACAACACACTCTGAGCAATGGCAACACCCACTGAGTGAACAGAAGTGGAGCACTGTGTTTTCCCCCACCCCTTACCTTAATGCCAGCAAAATAGAAGGAAACAAAGAGCTCTGTCCTTTGAGAGCACCTACCCTCAAAATGTCCTCAATGGATGGCACATCAGTGGAGTTGGTTTGCTGAGACAAGAAAGAAGGAAGCAGCATGAGATTGTTTGGTTTTTTTCCCAACATGACACCAGCAGGCACTCAGCAAACATTTTCTTACCAACTGCTCTAGGCATGCCATGCAAGCTGATTAATACCAAAATGCTAGTAAGGACTAAAGGTCCCTTCTGAAGGGCAGTTGCTTTCCTTGAGTTGCTGTTGAAGCAGCTGAGCTTTGCCTGCAAAGGCACAGGCTGCCTCTGCATTTCAAAGAGTTTGACCACTCGAGATCCCCTGGGCTCCAAAGCAGATGAAAGCCCATGCAAGAGGCAGAAAGCTCTCTTGTAAAGTGACAAAAGCCCTGGCAAAAATGGGCTGGTTTACCTTTGTTGAGAGTGGAAACTTAGAAGGCTCTGCTTTCGGAGACATATGCAGAGGAGACAGGGGAGGTGAAAATAGGAAGGTCATTTCCTGGAAAACAGTTGAGAGAAGCAGCTATCAAAAGTGAACAGAAGTGGAGCACTGTGTTTTTGCCCACTCCTTACCCTAATGCATGCCAACTAGAAGGAAACACAGAGCTCTGTTCTGTAAGAGCACCTACCCTCAAAATGTCCTCAACAGCTGGCACATCCGTGCAGTTGGTTTCCTCCAGGGAAGGGTCCAGCTCAAGTGATTTTGATGCCCTAGCATTTTTAAGTTGTTGTTCTGTCACTGAGTCCTGAATTGACTTGGTTTGACTGCAGCTCGGTTCATGACTCTTCCTCCCGGTCTGTGACCTTGATTTCAACTTTTTGGGAGTCCACATGACCTTCTGAAAATTCTGTCTCATGTACACCTTGAAATCATTGAAACTGCCCATGATGTTCCTAATGTGCCTTGACAGCGCATCTCTCTTATTGGTCTGCAACACAAGAACAGAGAGCTGGAAATTTCTGTAGCACCCCAAGAGATCCAGTTCACCAAGAGACATTCCTCAGCATCTTAACTGGATCCCCATCCATCACTACAAGTGAAGTCAGGCAAGCTGGTCTTGATCGTGCCAGTCTCTCCAAAGCACACGAGACTGCTCTGGCCACTGTCAGTCCTTCCAAGCCAAGCTTGCAGGGGCACCTGCAGCCTTCAGGAGCACCAACGTCAGATGCGCTTTTTTATCACCACAGCTGCAGAGAGACAGGCAGCCAAGCTGCTCCTGAGCGCTCTCCCTCCACCTACAGGAGACCAACCCCAAGCCCATCGGGCTCTTGCTCAGCCAGCAGAGCTTTAAGCACATGCTCGGAGGAACTGAAGTTCAGCAGATGGGAAGAACCTGTGTTTGCCTGTACCGTGCTCAAGTCTGCTACACCCCATGCAGAGGACACAGCTCTCCTTCCTCTCCTTCTTCTCCACACCCCACTGCCATTACCTTGTAGGGTTTTGCAAAAGTGGGAGTCTTCCCAGGGAACTGGTCTTCCTCCCCAGCAGCCTCCCGTCTCCTCTTCTCTTGCGCCTCAAGACGGAGCAAGTCTCTGTTCTTCTTGGACAAGCTTTCACAAAGAGAAAGAGAAAAGATGAGCACCATCTTACACCAGTGTTAACCCATTTATACTGTGCGCAGAAACGTGGGTTTCACACAAGGCCACATGTCCAGCATGGCAGTAATTTGGAAATCCAGAGAATGGTTACAGCTGACAAATCCATTGGGTCAAGCATTTGCTGTCCCACATAGCAATGAGACACAAAAGGGACAGCATGAATCTTTCTCAAAAGGTATTTCTACTCCGGCTACAATCCATCAAGAAGGGTGGGAAGGGACAAACTGTCCACCCACTTAATTGTGAAACAAATTGAGAAACAGTCAACGGGGATCATAAGCACGGGAGCTGGCAGATCCCCTTGCAGTGATTGACCTGAGCAACTCCCATTCTCGTTCTCCTTCAGACTTCTACCCCAAGTCTCCATCCAAGAGTAGAAGGGAATTCCCTGTTTTGAAGATGTTGCCATTTTCAAAGATTTGGAAAGGTGCTGACGTGGGACACCGGAGAGTTGCATTTAAAACAATCCCCTAAATCGAATTATAAGGAAGGTCTCAGAAATTCAGAAAACAGCTGCCCTGATCCCCTGTTCCTCCTCAGCCACATCTGCCTGCACTCAGTTCCACCAGCCCCACAGCAAAACACCAGTAAAGCTGTGTCACACACCCAGCACAGTGACTTCATGGAAAACCAGATCCTTTCAGCTACACCTCATCATTGAAATACTATGGCAAAAGAAGGGAATCTCCTGCTCCAGTATTTGTGGACACTGGGGAAGGAAAAGCGTGCAGGCATAGTGGATGCAGCTATCTCTCTCCTGTAACTCCAGTCTA